CCTGCTCTCTTGGGAAAAGTGGTCTGCTTATATACACTCCCTGGGTCTTGGGGGCTCCTCCCCGAGCCCCTCCTATTTATGACGTAATTTCAGGTCATATTCCACGGATATCTCTGTTATTTGATTTTGTACCGGTGGAAATGACCCTAGGGTGTGTATTTTTTAACCTTCCTGTCTAAACGCCATTGCCCATCCCGGTCATTTTCTAGTACCTACCCATGGTTTCAACGGTGATACACATTTTTGTTTGCATTGACCCTCTGGTTACCTCCACCCTCGTTATTTTCTTATTCAATTAGTTTGACATCTGGACCTTGGTTGTTTCCACCGCCACCCACATTATTTCCTTATTCACCTATTTAACAAACCTATTTAACATCCACTATGTTAACATAATAATATGTATAGATTTTAATTAAGTGTTTGAAAGATTAATTTCACAATTTTTAAATGAATCTCTATATTGCCATGAGGCAATTAGGATTTTCTTGCCTGGTGCTGGTATCGATACTTTTGAAAATGAGCATCGTATCCGGATACAACATCTTAGTATCGATACTTTTTTGAGTATCGATACTTTTGACAACCCTACTGTGACATGAATATAATTACTGTGACAAGAATATATGCATTGTGAGATATTAATCCACTACAAAGGGCTGCAGGGTGGTGGGTTCGGCCGGGTCCGACGCCAAAGTGAAATACCTGCAGGAGCTGGGCTTCGACCGGGCCTTCAACTACAAAACCGTGGGCTCCCTGGAGGAGGCGCTGAGGACGGCCGCCCCCGACGGATACGACTGCTTCTTTGAGAACGTGAGGACTAGGGTTGTCACGATACTAACATTTTCAACCTGATACCGATACTCAGGAAAATACTCGATACCATTTTCGATACCACAAGGATAAAAACAAAGACCCCAAAATTTAACTGAATTTTGACAGGTTAGTGTCTTTCATTTCAAACTGACCTGTTACTGATGTTATGGTGGCCCACATTAATGACCCTAACCCTAACCCTCCAGCCTTCGTAATTGTGAGAAATAAATATTTTTTGGTTAAACTTGTTTGGACTTATTCTACAAACCTGTTTAACATTACACTATTTTAACATAATATTACGGATAGAGTTTAATTAAGTGTTCAAAAGATTAATTTCACTATTTTTAGATTAATTTCTATATTGCCATGAGGCATTACCATTTTCTTGCCTGGGATCTTCCTATTGGTGACCTAATCAAAATGGCCGATTGGATGTGGGCGGAGTTGGATATGTACTTGACTAATGGTAGCATGTTATCATTAGCCATTAGCCGAAGCTAGCAGTTCAAGGCTAACGTCTTGTTAATGATCATAAACAACGTAAAAAAATACATAAATAAATCAGAGAGAAGGGGGGGCGGTGGTATCGATACTTTTGAAAATGAGTATCGTATCCGGATACAACATTTTAGTATCGATACTTTTTTGAGTATCAATACTTTTGACAATCCTCATCCACCTCATTCTTATTTTCTACCAGCAAAGCTTCAGCTCTCCTATTTGTTTTAGGTCGGAGGTCATTTCTCAACCGTGGCCATCCAGCAGATGAGGAACTTTGGGAGAATAGCTGTTTGTGGAAGTATCTCAACCTATAATGATACTACACCCCAAACAGGTGTGTGTTTTTTGTATAC